ACTCTGGTAAACTGAGGCAGGAGGATTGTGAGTTTGAGGCCAATAGTAAGACCCTGCCTCAAAATAAAAAAGGGCTGGGATATGGTTCAGTGTGAAGGCTCTGGGTTCAGTCCCAGGAATACACACACACACACACACACACACACACTGACACACACACACACACACACACACACACACACACACACACGCACACCCAGAGTCACACAGAGTTTATTCTAATGGTAAGATTGGAGGCAAGGAGACCAGTTAGTGGGGCAGTTATGGCTGCCTGGAAAGACTGGTGACCTAAGTGAGTATCCTGGCCACGGGGAGAGAGAAAGGAAACCACAGAGATTTGCTAGCTGATTGGCTTACGGAGAAGGAAGAAGAGGGAGGAATCCCAGATGCTGTCTGTCTAGTTTACCGGCTGGGTCCTTGGTTGGCAGGTGAGTAGAGCACTTCACTGGCTTAGCGCACATGAGGGAGGAGCAGGATGACGGTGAGTCCTTTTGGGGTGGTACACAGTTCATCTGAAGCCTGGGAGAGACAGGATAGGGATTCGGAAGTCATCAGTACTTGGTTGTGCAATGACATATTGGGACTTTATGAGCCAGCCAGGAGAAGAAGCCAGAGGGGAAGACGCTGAAAATGTATTGGAGGAAGGGAATCATTGTCAGACTGTGGTAGAAAGCTGAGAAATTGGGATCATGTTTTCTCTACAATTTCTTACTATGAAATCTATCAAATATAAAGAAAAGCTGAAAAAATTGTTCAAAGAATATGCATATATCCTCCACTTATTACTAATATCACCATGCTAGCTATATATTTGAGTGTGTCCGTGTTTCATTTTGCAGAGTTGAGAGTGGTAGGCAATGTTACACTTCAACATGATTTTCTAAAAATTAAGACTTTCGCCTACATGGCCAATCTAAGAAAATGTGTTCCTTAATCTGATATCCAATTCATAGCCAAGATTTCCAAGTTGCATTCCAAATATTTGTCATAGTATTATTTTTTTTATGAGCTGGGACCCAAGTTAGTTATGTATTTTAAAGATCTTTTTAAAGATATGTATTAGTTATCCATTGCTGTGTACACACTAACCCAAAACTTAGTGGGTTAAAACAACAAGAAAGGTTTATTATCTCACGCAGGAATTTGAGGACAGCTTGGCTGAGGGGTTCAGTCCCTGGTCTCTCCCAAGGTTGCAGTCAGGATATTGGTGGCGGGTTCTAGTCAGGCCAACTTCACTGGGCTGGACGATCTGCTTCCACCGAAATTGCTCACGCACACTGGCACATGGATGGTAAATTGCTGGCTGTTGGCAAGAGGCCTCAATCTCTTAACATATGGCGCTTTCCACAGAGCTGCTTGAAGGCAGCTTTTTCCCCAGGATAGAGTGACACAAGAGAGCAAAGCAGAGGAGGACGTGTCTTTTGTGACCTGGCCTTGGAAGTTTCCTTGTCCTGTCCGGAACATCCTGTGGGTCACAGAGTCAGCCCTCTTCGTTGTGGGAGGGAGTGTAATCAGGAATGTCAGGAGGCAGAACTCTCTGCGGGTAGTTTAGTGCACACTTCTGTCTCCCACAGACGCTAACTCTGTAAAGAGATCAAATCAGCTGGCTTTTAGATTGTTCCATATTCTGGACGTGCCTGGTTGTTCCCTCGTGGTGTGATTTGACTTGTTCCTCTCTCCTCTGTACTTTAACCCAGAAGCTCACCTAGGCTTGACTGGGTGGAGGTTAAAGTGCCTGAGAGAGCAGAGGACGCCCTTAACTAAGAAGCGATGGGGATCTGGGGCAGCTCTGAGCGACCGTGGGGAAAACCCGGGTGGCAACACGGAAACTCTCCAGGGCCCGCGGGATGGGGGGACCGCGAGCACACAGCTGTCTCGGCCGCGTGGCTCCATGCTGCAGTGGGATAAGGGAAGCGCATTCTCCACCACACGTCAGGGACGGATCCTTGGTTCGCAATCTCCTGGCGGCCGAGGAGTGCCGGGCAACCCCCAAAGCAGGCCTCGGGTGTGCCGCGGCCCGCCTGGCACAGCGGCCTCTCGCAGCCCCGCAGAGCAGGGAACCGGCGGGGGCGGGGCCGGGGCGGGGCATGGCCGGACCACGCCCCGGATGGGGTGGAGCCGCGGCGGTGGCGCCAAATCCCAACCATGGCGCCGGAGCGGGTGCGGAGCCGGGCGCTCTCCGCCTTCAAGCTGCGCGGCTTGCTGCTACGAGGGTGAGTCGGCCCGGCGTGTGGGCCGGCGGGAGGGGAGCGCCGAGGCCGGGCCGCCGTTACGCCCTTCGCGCGGGGACGGACGCTCCTCCGCAGTTCTAAGCGGCGAGGGCGCGGGGGCGTCTCACCCCCCACCGTCCGCGGAGGAAAGCGCTTTTTTTTTTTTAGGTCCGGTGAATCGAAATCGTGACCTCAGGCTTGCCAGGCAAGCGCTTGTGACACTGAGCTACATCCCCGGCCCTAAGTATTTATATTTTTATTTATTTATTTATTTATTTTTGTCTTTTTTGAGACAGGGTCTCCCTACGCAGTACAGGCTAGCCTTGAGCTCACTTTGTAGCCCAGGCTGGTCTTGAACTCGCAACGCTCCTCCTGCCTCAGCCTCCCCAGTGCTGGGATTACAGGGGAAGCGCTTCTACCCGGCTGGTGCGCTGCGGGCCGGGAACCTGCGGGTCACAGCTGCGACCCCTCCCCTGCTGGGACCCCGCGATTGCCGGGCCGGGCCGTGGCTCCAGTCCCTGCTGAGACTTAGGCCTCCTAAAGTATTGTTTCCTAGAAAATTAAAAAGTGGATAGATTTTAAGCTTGTTTTTAGGTGACCACTTGGATTCTTTTTTTTTTTGAGATCTCCTTTACAACTTTTCTGAAAGCCAGGTTTCCTGGGACATCGGTGTGTTTTTAGGACCCCTAACATCTCCAGGATTTTTCTTATTAAATCGGCTTTGATTTTAGAATACAGTAGTTCGTTTTTCTTTTTTTTCTTAGTGTATGGTTGAGACAGTAGTGGTTGCATTCAGCCTGGGGGTTTGGTACATCCACAGCTTCTGTTTTACTCCCTCTGCCTTCCCCGCCCCGCCCCTCTCTGCTTCATCTCCCCTCCACCTCTAGGGAGCCTACCTTCCTCTTCCTAACCTGGCTCTTTATTTTGCTCTTTGTTTGTGTTTTGGGTCTCTCATATTAGTGAGGCCATGCAATATTTAACCTTTTGTAACTCACTTAGCATTATGTCTCAAGATCCATCCATTTTCTTACAGATAACTCAAAGGCATCCTCCTTTATGGCTGAGTAGTACTCCTTTGTATATACGGCACATTTCTTTTTTTGGTTTTTTGAGACAAGGTCTTGTAATATAGTTCAGGCTGGCCTTGAACTCATTATATGGGCTGAAACTTGGCCTATCCTCCTGCCTCAGCTTCCCCAGGACTAGGACGCCAGGTGGGCACCACCACTCTTGGCTTGTCATATTTTCTTTATCCATTCATCTGTTGATGGGCAGCTAGCTCACTTCTGTAAATTAGTTATTGTGAGTTGAGCTCCCCTCAGCATGGGTATGGATGTATTGCTGTAGAGGGTGACTTTAGCCTGTCTGGGAAGATGTTCAGGAGAGGTGTATAGCTGGGTCACGTGGTATTTGTTTTTAGTTTTTTGAGGAATCTGCATACTGATTTCCCAAGTGGTTGTATTTGTTTACATTTCTTCCAACAGTAGTAGGGATTCTTCCCCCCTTATCCTGGCCAGCGTTTGTGTTTTGAGTCCTTGACCATGGCCATTGTTAGCAGAGTAAGGTGGAATCTCAGTATTGTTTTGATTTGCATTTCTATAATGGCTGAATATATTAGAACACTTTTTCATGTATTTATTGGCCATTTGTATTTCTTCTGTGGAGTGTCTGTTCATTTCAACTGCTTTTTTTTGGTTAGGTCTTTTATTTTTGGCAGTCTAAGTTGTTGAGTTCTTTATATATTGTAGGTATTAGTCCTCTGCCTGAAGAGTAGCTGGTAAAAATATTTTCCCATTCTGTAGGTTGTCTCTTCACTTTATTGGCTGTTTCCTTTGCTGTGCAGAAGTCTTTTAATTGAATATAATCTCATTTGTTGATTATTTCTTGTGCAATTGAGGTTCTGTTAGGAAGTCTGCCTCCCCAGCCCAGTATTTTGATTGGCATCACAGTAAAGATATACATACATACATATTCAGTATCTTTTTTGGTAATATGGCCATTTTGACATATTAGTTCTGCCTGTTCAAGAACAGGGAATGTCTTTCCATTTTCTAATGTCTTCTTCAATCTCTTTTTTTTTTTTCAACAATATAGTTTTTGTTATGGAGGTCTTCCACTTACTTTCTTGGTTAGGTTAATTCCAAGATATTTTTTTTTCTGAGGTTATTGTGAATGGGATTGTTTCCTTGATTTCTTTCTCAGTGGTTCATTCTTGGTATACAGGGACATTATTAATTTTTATGTGTTTATTTTATATCCTGCCACTTTGCTGAATTTATTAGTTCTGAAAGTCTTGTGGTGGAATATTTTGGTTTTACATAGATGTAAAGGATCATGTGATCTGCAAATAAGGGTGTTGTGACTTCTTCCTAAACATTTATTTATTAGAATCCATTTTATTTCCTTTTGCTTAATTGTGCTTGCTAAAGTTTCGAGTACTATATTGAGCAGGAGTAGTGAGAGTGAGTGGGCATGCTGTCTTGTTCCTGAATTTAGAAGAAAAGCTTTCAGTTTCTCCCCATTTAGTACGATGTTGGCAATGGGTTTGTTATAATGGCTTTTATCATTTTAAGGTAAAGTCTTTCCATACCACTTTTGTCAAGATTTTTTAATCATGAATGGATGTTGGATTTTTCTGCATCTGTTGAGATGGTCATGTGATTTTTAGTCTTCTATGTATGTGATGAATTACATTTATTGATTTACAAATGTTGAACCATCTTTGTATCCCTTGGACGAAACCAACTTGGTCCTGATGTATGGACTTTTTTTTTTTTTTTTTAATTTTTTTGGTCTTTTTTTGAGACAGAGTCTCACTATGCAGTTCAGGCTGGCCTTGAACTCACTTTGTAGCCCAGGCTGGCCTCGAACTCACAGTGATCCTCCTATCTCAGCCTCCCAAGTGCTGGGGTTGCAGGCATGCGCCACCATGCCTGGCAAGGTCTAATGTTTTCTGTAGAATATAATATTTTATATAAGTTTAATACCTGCTGAAATGGGCATACTTTTCTGAGCCAGGTTTTGAATCCTTTTGTGTATAGAGTTTCTGTTTTTATAATTGAGGGTTTTTTTTTCTTTTGATGAACCTAGGGCATCATGCATGCTAGGCAAGCACTCTTTAAGCTACACCGCAGCCTAGACCTATGGAACTTTTAACTTTGTTTTTGGGTTAGTGGTGAACAACAGCCACTGTAGTTATATTTTGGGAGAAAATAATGAATTTTGTTCAGTTGACCTGTGACATTTGGAAAATATGAACAGTTGATTAATTAACTTGTGTTTTTTTTAAATTTAGAATTTCATCTAATACTAAGCTTTTGTTAATGAGTTAACTTGGTCAGAAATACCCTTGAATCTTTCAGCTGCAAAGCACTGTGCTGGGGGGATGGGTATAGGAGGATAGGACACCATAGAGCTTTATGGTGAAGAGAGATAGTGCACTAGTTATCTATGGCTGCGTAACAAGTTACCCTAACAAGTAGAGGCTTAAGCAGCACACACTTACTATCCCATATCTTCTGTGGGTCCTCAGCTTCAGGGTCTCACTCACAGGGCTCCTCTTGGGCCTCCCCTTAGCGTGACAAGTAGCTTCACCAAAGCCAACAAGGGAGAGTCAGCTAGCAAAACCCAAATCACAGCTTTTGGGAACTTAGTCCAGAAAGTGACTTCTTGTTACTTTTACAGCTTTATTTTAAAATTATTTAAAATGTTTAAATAATACAGTTCCATAGGTCTTTATTATTTGTGGTGCTGGGGATCCAAACCTTGGGCCCTCACTCATGCTATAAGCAAGTGCTCTACCACTGAGCTGCACCCCCAGCTCTACATTGTATTTTAAAAATTAAAGTACAGTAGAGTATTGCATTCTTTAAAAACAAGTTACTAGCTGCAGCCCACACTCAAGGGGAAGGACTGGCACACAGGTGTGAATACCTGGGGCATGGGTTAGTTAGAAGTCTGTCTACCAGGGATGTGAAACTACAATTTAACACTTATTGAATTTCATTTGTAGAACAGAAAGAAGTGCCATGAGTATGTGACAAGGTGTATGATCTACTATGAAGTCAAGGAAGGGATTCACTGCAGGATTAGTTTGGGCTGCCAGGGATATAGCAAGGTGCCAAGTTCGATTCCTGGTACCAAAAAAAAAAAAAGGTATGAAGTAAGAATTAGTTTGGGCTAAGTATTAAAGGATGGGCAGGACTTGGTTAGATGGACAAAAGGCTGGGGATAAATGACATAGACCTAGAAGTCAATAAGCAAGCACCAGGAAGGTCAGAGACATTGGGTGAGCCGGATGACAGATCCTCAGTGGCTTGACAAGCTTTGGTCTGTCCTGAGAGCTGTCACCCAAAATGTGTATGATTTTAGGGATTCAGTCAGCAAATATTTATGGACCACTTTCAGGTGTACTTATACCCTGCTAAAGGATGACGCAGTTCCAGTTCTCAAGTTATCTGTAATAACTCAGTTCTCAGTTACCTACAATAAACAGAGATGTGGCACCCACACATACAACAGTCATTAAGCACCCCGATATAGAGAACAGTTAATGTCATGACCAGAATAATAACATTGATGAAAGTGTAAGGGAGTGTGCTGCAAATATAGAAGGGTATCTAAGTAGCTAATTAAGTAAGCACACTCATTCTGAGCATTGTTCGTATTCAAATGTGATTTTAATATGAATGTAGCGTCTGTGATTATATTCAGTGTTTTTTGCAGGCAAACTTTTTCTAGTTTTCCAATTAAAAACTGATTAAATGACTAGAATCAGGGCAAATGCATTATCAACTTAATAAGTATATCGATGTTCCTTGTGTTCAGGATGTGGTGCTTGAAATTAAGGCTAAAAAAATTCTTGCCTGAAGTGTAAGGTAATAAGATTTACAAGGATAATATGAAATACCAAACTTAAGGTACTGTATATCCAAGTGTGATCTTTGGGGGTTTTTGTTGTTGTTGGTTTTTTTGGTACCAGCAATCAAACTCAGGATCTTGCACTTGCTAGGCAGGCTTTGTGCCACTGAGCTAAATTCTCAGCTCCTTTCAAGTGTGATTTTTCATAATTGTTAATTGAAGATGGCACAGGTGGGGCTGCTCTAGGAAAGCTCCTTAGATGGAAAATGTGACTTGGGGCTTTAAGAACGATTCTATCAGCAGGGAGAATAGGACAGTTTTGCTCAGAAAGTGCAGAAAAGCTAAGAACTGCTTGATAGGAGGAATGAGTGGGTCTTAATTTCAGTATCAGATTGATGAGTATTTGCCACTTCTTGGCATAAAATGTTTAACCTTTAATTATCAATGCCCTGCTTCATCTTTTCTTTCTCTGTCCTACCAGAGAAGCTATTAAGTTCCTCACAGAAGCTCTACAGTCTGTCAATGAATTAGAGCTCGAAGATACTCTGGAAAAGATCATCGATGCAGTGGAAAAGCAGCCCTGTAAGCCGTGTTTTCCGAGAACTCTTAAATTGTTCACCTAGCTCTGCATCTCAGTTAGATTTATGGATTTCATTAAAGAGAAGTCACGGATCCACTATTAAGGTGTTCCAGTGTTGCATGGTTGTATTTCTTTCCAAAAGGTTTGTTCGGTGATAACCTCAGGATGTTCCCCAGAACACCTTTCACCTTTTTCTACCTTGGTGGAACCAGCATAGGCTTTTTTCTGTACTTGATTCCTGAATTTGATCCAAGCCTCTGAGGTCACTTGTCTCTGCGTGCCTTTTTCTCTGTCTTAGGTTAGGTACTCCAAAATGTTTGGGGGAGAGGAGAAAAGTGTGCAAGATTAATTCTTTCTTCGGGGATCTTTTGATTAAATACTTTGATACCACAAGCATGGGTCTGCAGAGAAGAAATGCTGTTCTCTTTCAGAAAAAAAAGTCCACTCTTTCGAGTGCCCAGAAGACTAGAAGTGGGGAAGTGGGTGTGGCTCACTCTCTTTGTTTTCTGGTGCAGAATCTTTAATTATGTAAGAAGCGACATGTTCTACAATATAAGTGGAAATGTTATATTGCTTTTTTACTTCTAAAGGCAGAATTCTAAATATACCTCTGTTTAAAAAATTTCTTTATGCCTGAAAATTTAGAAAATGATGTTTACCAGTAATGATTGTTTGTGTTAATTGTACATTAACTGAAGGTAGCACATAGTGTTTCACCTGAAGATGTCCCAGGGTGGTTAAAGGGCTCACTTTGGGGTCAGGCCTGGATTTGTGTTGCTTTCTGCCCCATGTAGCATGTCCTTGGGGGGCTATTAAGCTTTTCAAAGTTATACTTTCTCCACCTGCATAGAAGATACGGGCGTACTAACATCAGTGTTATGGAGGACGTTGTCTAATGCTTTCAACTACTGAGCACAGTGCCACACATTTATTAAGTGCTTCACAAATGGTAGCTGTGTCATTACCGCTTCTACTAGAACTAGTGTTTACACCTGCGTTTACACTTGACCTTGACCTTCTCTTTTCAGTGTCATCAAACATGATCGAACGACCTGTAGTGGAGGCTGCGGTCCAGGAATGCAGTCAGTCAGCTGAGGAAACTTTGTATGTGCATGCAATTAGCCCTTTCCTCTCTGTTGGAGGTGTTACTGACTGCTTATTTTCAACTCTTTGTTAGGGACATAAGTAGTAAACGTTTTTACAGTGGTTGCTGTCATTATTTTGCTATTTTTTTTTTATAAGTAATGATCTACATTATAAACCAGATTATTAAATGACTCATTTTTTGTATGTTTTCCTGGGGTGTGAGATAAAAGTATTGTTTGTGTCATTACTGATTTTGCTGCTTTATCCAACCAACCCGACTTTATATGCTGTCTGCTGCTAATGAATTGAACTGAGCCTCAGAAGTATAAAATACTTTTGATCTTAGGAAAGTACTGCGCTTGGAGAATTTCAGTGATTTAACTCGGTCACATTGTGAATGACAAATGAGGGTTAAACCTCAGTATAGGACTCTTCCATTCTCCAGTATGTTTAAGTGGAGGAATTTATACAGCAGTACTTTGCGGGGTGGTATTTCTCTGAATGTCTCTTTTTCCCTTCCTTATAATACTTCCAAATTCATGGGATTTAACTGTCAGGAAAACATCTCAGGAAATGAGCAGGAAGACAGTTTTAACTTTAACAGTTCTGTCTTATTTTGGGTAGTAGAGATGACTGAAAGGAGTTTTTTTTGTTTTGTTTTGTTTTTTTTTGTACCAGGAATCAAACTCACAACCTTATGCTTGCCAGGCAGGCGCTTGCTCCACTGAGCTATATCCCCGGTGCTGAAAGGAGTTTTGACCCTTACTGTGGCCCGTAGTTTTTCCCTCTCAGAACTTTTAGAACTGCTAAAAATAGAGAAGTTGAAGAATTTTGACTTTATTCTTGCAAACTCTTTTAAAATATTGGAGTGCACTGACATGCCCTGAAAGTCATCCACAGAAATTCAAAGTGCTTATACTGAAGTTTGCAGCTCCAGTTGTCAGGCAGTCATTACTTCACAGCACAAGAGAGATGCTCTCAGTTATACACGTGAAGAAATGGCCTGACACATGAAATAATGTGCTGAGCTTGATCCACTAGAAACTAATGAAGTTGTGTCTGAATTACGTTTTCTCCAAGTCCAACCATTCTTTGCCTTTTTTTACTTGTAATTACAGCCAGGATAGTTTGATTGATTGATTGATTGTTTATCTACCATTTCCAGTTTTGGAAATAAACATTATTTCCTAAAATAATTTTAGGAAAGATTTATTTTTAGGTTGAAGTATTTATGCAAAAGTGTTGTGAATTTTTTTTGTGTGTGAATTTTAAAAATTCTTTCAGACATGATTATGTTATTAACAGAGTCTGAAATTAAGTTATTTTGTTGGTTTTCCATCTTCGACACATTTCAAAGATTATGCCAGGCTTTTGAGGGTTCCTTTTCTATTATAAAACTTCTTTTTCGACCACTGTTTGCTTAATATTTTGGATTTAAAAAATTGTTGGAAGTGAATCAGATTCTTTTTTGTTTCATAAAGTGAATCAGATTCTTTTATGCTTCATATATTGTAGCTTATAAAAGTAGTTATAGGGAGAGATTTCTTTAGAAGGACTATTTTATACATCTGAATTCTTTTTCAACAGATGAGTTGTTTCCTTTTTTTTTATAGATTCTTAATTAGAAGTTAACTTGATTTTTTTTTTTTCCTTGAGAGTATTGGGAATGCTGTCTTGTCTCTTGAAAGGAGAATGTATAAACTAGAACTTTATCCCCCCTTTGTTTTTGACACTGTAAGGAAGTGTGAGCTGGGTATGGTGTAGTGTGCGTGCCATCGCAGCTACTCAAGAGACTGAAGCAAAGGGATTGTAAGTTCAAGACCAGCTTGGGCAATTTATGGAGACCCTGTTTCATACAATGCGATACGCTGTGATACGATACAATAGTCAGGGGTGCAGCTTAGTGGTAGAGTGTTTACCTAGAACGAGTGAAGCCCTAGATTTAATCTCAGGTACAGGAAGAAAGGAAGGAAGGAAGCAAGGAAGAAAAGAAAGGGGAGAGAAATTCTGTATGTGACTTGAGAAAATAGGAAAAATAGGTTATATGTGATGTAGGGTTATGATGCCATTTAAATACTTACGTTTTAGTAAATCAGACCTGTGTTTTGTGGGATGTTTTTCAGAGAGCATATTTTCAATATCATAGGAGCTTTTGATATTCCACGCTTTGTGTATAATTCAGAAAGAAAAAAATTTCTCCCGTAAGTATACCATCTATTGGTTTTAAATTAATTTCAAGTGTACCTTTTCTTCAAAAGATGTATAACCTTGTGTTTCAATCCTAACCTCCCTTTGTGCATTTGTGATAGTAAAAACAGGTATTTGTTTTTCTAGTCTATTAATGACCAACCGTCCTGCACCAAGTTTATTTGGAACAGCAAGAGATAAAGCAGAGCTGTATCGTGAACGATACACCATTTTGCATCAGGTAAGATGATGAAGGAAAACAGCAGGTAAACGCAGACTCTGCTTCAGAAAATCTCAGGGATATGTAGAGGACAGAATTATGTAGCCCCAGGTTGCTCATTCAGTAGACTGTTACTGGATTCTATGCTTGAGACCAAATAGGAAGATAATCCTTTTAAACCTGGTGTGGTGGCAAACACTTGTGGTCCTAGCACTTTGGGAGGCTGAGGCAGGAGGATTGCAAGTTCAGGTCCTGCTTGGGCAACTTAACAAGGCCCTGTCTCAAAATAAAATAAAAAGGAGTAGGGGTGTAGCTCAATGGCAGAGCACCCTGTGCTTAATCCCTTTGACACCCCCCCCCAGAGCACCCTTAATAAAATGATTTTTTAAAAAGTAGCTGCCAGCCAGGCATGGTAGCGCACGCCTGTAATCCCAGCATTCAGGAGGCTGAGGCAGGAGGATCTTTGTGAGTGCGAGACCAGCCTGGGCTACAAAGTGAGCTCAAGGCAAGCCTTAACTGCATAGTGAGACCCTGTGTCAAGAAGACAATAAATAAATAAATAAATAAAGTAACTGCCATTTAATACATTGTTTTGATATGCCAGGTACTGTACTTAGCACTTTACATACATTATTTGCCTCATATACTCCTATAACACTTAATAGATGTAGAAATGCTACCATTAACCTTTTTGCGAGGAAACAGGCCCAGGGGGGTTTAGTAACGGGCCCAGAGATCGCATCTAGTAGATAGACAGGATTTGAGTCCTGTCTGTCAGACTCTGGGGCCCAGGCTTTGCCTGCTCTGGTCTTCAGTGTAGGATCTTCGCAGGAGCAGAAATGTCTCTGCTGTGGCCGAGCCAGAACGTGTTCACTGGAAGAATCAGGGCGCCGGGAGGTGACAGTGCCCTGTGGTGGGGGAGGTGGGAAGTGGGGCAGCTTTGTGTACAGAAGCCCAGAACAGGAAAAGCCGGGCTCCGAGCAGGAGACGCCGAACACCGCGCGCAGCTCTGGCTAAGCATGCACAGGTGAGTGGGAGCCGAACCGCGGGAGGCTGTGGCTGCTGCTCTCGCGGCCGGGACTCCGTTCTCGCGGCCGGGACTCCGTTCTCCCGGCCCAGAAGCCTCGGAGCCCTGAGGCTCAGCCACAGCCACGGCTGGGTTTTGCAGGGCCTCCTCCAGCAGGCCGGAGGAGGACGCGGCCTTGCGCGGGGACTGACGGCAGCAACATTGACTCGTCCCGCGTGGAAGAGGGAGGTGGCCGTGGAGTGGGAAGAGGGCGCGCTCCGGAGCAGTGGGAGCCAGGCTTCCCGCGACTCTGGGCGTGAGGAGCAGGCGGAGGGTAAAGGTTCCGAGGATGAGGTTTTGAGTTTGAGAAAAACAGCAGAAAACGTCAGCATATTAAACAGGAAAGAGAATGCGGCAAACGATAGCACTGCTGGACGGCTGCTGGAAGGGCGCCGCGCACGTTCGAATGTACGTCTGCAGCTGAGGAAAGGGCTGGGGGAGGGCGTCGGGCTTGGGCCGCAGTGAAGAGTGGGGTCAGGGCCTTCCCACGGGGGAGCGGCCGGCTGGGAAGGTGTCACTGGCCGGAACAGGTTCCGAGAAGGCCGGGGAGGGGAGCGGGCGGGGCCTGCACCCGGGTGGGGAGAGCAGCGCGGCTTCGCTCTGCTGCTTCGCCGCCTGCAGTCCTGGCGCGCTCATCTTCCGGGGCTCTGCTCTCTGGCTTCACACGGAGCCTGTCGAGGAAAGTTTACTGCTGCTGAGTTAAATGCAAACTATTTCAATATTTGAGATCTATCCCACATTCTGGCCTAGTCTCTTCCTCTAGTCATTCTCTGCCAGAGCGAAAATGGAAATAGGCAATTCGGAGTGGAGTAGGGAGTGAGGATTGAACTCAGGACCTTGGCACTGAGCTACACCCCCAGACCTTTTTTATATTTTGAAGGAACATCTCTACTAAGTTACCCAGGCTAGGCCTTTTTTTTGGTACCGAGAATCGAACTCAGGACCTTGCACTTGCCAGGCAGATACTTGTGTCGCTGAGCTATATCCCCAGCCATGGGCTGGAACTTTTGATTCTCCTGTCTCAGCCTCCCAGAGTGCTGGATTAAGGCATGAGCCACCATACCCAGCCTGAAAATGTGGAATGTGTTGTTTCTTCCGCTTCTGTAACTTTACTTGCGCTGCTGGCTGCTCTCCCCTCCCATGTGCACTGTGAAATTGTGCTGACTTTGGAAGGCCCCTGAGCTTCCTCGATTTGAACTGCGTCTTAATTTCTGGCTAGATGGCGCCTAGAAGTGTCTCCTTCAGAACCGGCCCGGCTGTGCATTCAGTATTTGTCCCTCTTACAAGCCTGCAAACTCCTTGTTGATTTCTTCTGCCTTGGCTTGGCGCGGTGATTTCTTTGTTATTTTATTGGGGATTGAAGCCAAGGCTTTTGCACTGAACTAGATCCTTGGCCCATTGAAAAATTTTTTAATTATTTTTTTTTTTAGCTTGAGACAGGGTTTTGCTAAATCGCATAGTCTAGGCTCAAACTTACACGAACCTCCTGCTTCAGCCTCTCAAAGTACTGGGATTACTGGCATGTAGCACTACAGTGCTCTTTACAGAGATGTGCAATAAATACATTTCTTTTGTTTCCTTTCTTTTGGTGTTTGTTGGTTTGCTTATTTTGAGACAAGGTCTCACTATGTAGTCCAAGATGTCCTTGAACTCACTGTGTAGCCCAGGCTAACCTCAACCTCCTAGTGATCCTCCTGCCTCAGCCTCCCAAGTGCTGATGTTACAAGCATGTGCCACCACACCTGGCTCCACATTTCTGTCTTTAAAAATATGTTTTAAAGTGTTATATTGTTGTATGTGTTTAAAATATGTTTTAAGGTAGCCACGTGTGGTGGTGTATGCCTGTAAGTCCAGCACTTGAGAAGCTGAGGCAGGGAGGATTGCCTTGAGTTTGAGGCCATCCTGGGTTACATAGTGAGTTCAAGTCCAGCCCGGACTGCACGGTAAGACCCTTTTTCAAAAACAATGTTTTAAAGTGCTACATTGTTTTGGGTATGTGATTTAGACATACTCAAACTTCATTTTTCTCACTTGTACCATGAAAAGGTTGCATTTTAAGCCATTCATATTTTCATTGCAAGTAACATTCTGAAAACAAATTAATTTTATCACTATCCTGCTTCAAAGTCTTTGTTTTCAATTGTCTATAATATAATAAATTCCTTGACTTAGGAGGAAGAGCTGTATATAAGGGCTCTTTTACTTTGAAGTTAGAGCAACTCCAGCTGACTAAATCTGAAAAAGGAATATATTAGCTTAGCTTGCGTGACCGAGAAGTCTAGAGATCTGCAGGTTTCAAGAATGACTGGATCCAGGTGCTCACACAGGGTCACAGGCCTCTGTCTGTCTTTCTCTGTCCTAGCTCTTTTTTTTTTTTGGTATCAGAAATCAAACTCACGGGCTGGGGATATAGCTCAGTGGCACAAGCGCCTGTCTGGGAAGCGCAAGGTCCTGAGTTTGATCCCCAGTACCACAAAAACAAAAAACAAACAAACAAACAAAAAAAATGCCAAAGAAATCGAACTCACGACACTTGCCAGGCAGGTGCTGTGCCACTGAGCTATATCCTGGGCCCCAATCTTTTTTTAAAAATTTTTATCTTTTGGTACTGGGAATCAAACTCAGGACCTCATGCTTGCCAGGCAGATGCTGCGCCACTGCACTAAATTCCCAGCTCTCTGGCTCTTTTTAATAATTGACTGTACTTTCAAAGAAGTGCCCTTTGGCCGAGGATATAGCTCAGTGGCACAAGTGCCTGCCTGGCAAGCGCAAGGTCCTGAGTTCCATTCCCGGTAGCAAAAAAAAAGAAAAAATAAGTGCCCTCCAAGGAGTGATAAAAATTGTACTAGCAGCCCTAGTAACTGTCAGAGGAGAGTTCCCCTTCCTCAGTTCTAGAAAAGCTAAGTGTGTCTTGCGCTGGCCTAGCTTGAGGCATTTGCTTATCCTTGAGTCTGTCACTGGCCAAGAGGGTGCACTTTTACTGTCTAGGCCTTGCTGGGCAGCATCAGGTAACATAGGCTGCATGGAGGGAAGGAGGGAGGGAGGGGCGGTTCCCCTGGTAGCTGCTCTTCCCGGTGTCTTGCCTTGTCTGGCATTCTGCGTCGTGCGCCTTACCACTCAATGCCGTGACACTAAACTGCAGTTTCTCCAACACTCCTTTATTCTTGTCTGTCTTTGGACACACCCATTTCTCTGCTCCCTCGGCCCGCACTCAGCAAAGCCTCCTTGCCCCCTGTGATGTGCTAGCACTTACCTTTCACCGGCTTCCATGCTCAACTTTTTAATGAATTTTCAGTTTCTAATATTATTTTACTAGACATCTGTATGTTGTGAAATAATTTGCATTCATATTTGTAGAGAAGAGGTAATAGTAACACTTTAAGGACAGTTTGGTCTTTTCGCTATTTTAGTGAATTTCAGTTTTAAATTTCAGCTTCAGTAATTCACGTGAATCTTTCTTTTTTATAGAGGACCCACAGACACGAACTGTTTACTCCTCCAGTGATCGGTTCTCACCCTGATGAAATGGGAAGCAAGTTCCAGGTTAGAATATTATCCTAATTATTGAGAGGTTGCAAGTGTACAGGATTAATATTTATTACTTAATTTCAGTTCACTGTATTCTAATTAAATGTTATCCCATTTGGGGAATAATGCCAAGAATAAAATATCTGTCTAGGTTCAGTACAGACACAATTTTGTTTTCAAATATTTTTTATGTGAAATTGGTTAAATCTGCAGAAGTAGAACCCACAGATATACATGGCTCTCTAGATGTGTGTTATTAACATAGATTCAGGGATATGTGTAGAAAAAATTGAATTTTTTAAAACGGTGTCCCAGTTGTTGCTATTTTAACTTTCTGAGAAGATTGTAATGGTCAGATGGACAATGTAAATATTAATGACAATTGTTCAATATATTAAATAAAATTAGAATATAACTTTTAAAGCTCATTAATTTTTGAGAGGTGTATTGATCAATAAAATAAATAAAATTGCTATTCTATATTTTATTTTTCTTTCTTTCTTTTTTTTTTTTCTCTTGTACCGGGAACTGAACTCACGACCTTGCGCTTGCCAGGCAGGTGCTTTGCCAATGAGCTAAATCCCCAGCCCCCGATATTCTATATTTTAAAAAGGAAATATACTAATTCAGAATGATATGTCATGAGGTTTTAGTCACTGGTAAAGGCTTGAGTTGATGTAGTACTTTATACTATTTACAGTATGTAATTCTTTAGCCATTGAATGTGGTATTTTAGCTTTTTGTAAATAAACTTAAACTTTCTAAGTATTTGATTTTCTACTGTTAAGTAGCTGTAAGAACCAAAATTTGCATCTAAAGTTTACTGATTTATGAAAAAATTAACTTTTTAAAAGAATGCTTTTTTACTCTTTAAGAACTTTTTGTGTTTTATTTTAGCTTAAAACAATAGAAACTTTACTGGGTAGTACAACCAAGGTCGGAGATGTGATTGTTCTTGGAATGATAACCCAGTTAAAAGAAGTAAGTTAAAAAGAGGAACTAAGATATATCATGTACAGATACAAATGCCTTATGATGAATATGATCATTGTATATATCTAAATTGTACCAATAAAACTTAATTGAAAAAAAGAGATATATTATGTACATCCACCAGTCCATGAATAGAATATAAACATTATGTACTGCAAACATGTACTAATAAAATAACATAAAGTCAAATTGAAAAAAAAAAAAGAGGTAAGTTAAACTTCAAGAAGCAGTAGATTTATTTTCTCGCTGGATTGGTGAAATGTTGGTGCCATGGAACATTTCTTAACTGCTCTTAGAATAGAAATTAGGTTAAGTTTTGAAAATTGACATTATTGAGCCAGACATAGTGGTGTAGCCCTGTACTCCTAGTACTAAGGAGGCTGAGGCAGGAGGATCACCATGAATTTGAGGCCAACCTGGGCTATATAATGAGTTCCAGGCCAGCCCAAACTGCATAGTGAGATCCTGTCTCAAAAAACAAACAGAAAGAAAGAAGAAACATTGGCATTATTTATATTTTCCTACCAAACACCTCTGTTTTTCTCGTATATATTATGTTCCTGTGGCAACATAATATATAGCGCACCTTGTGCACTAAATGACCTTTTCATCAGTGGTTTCCTGGGTAGACAGCAGAAGGAGATTTCTTGTCCAGGTGCCCAATTTGCATAGCCTGAAATTAGCTGTCAGTCACCTCTGGTTGAACTGAGAGCCGCAGACCACATCCTGGTGCCCTGGTGGCTCTCTAAGGTGAAGGCACCTGGTGCGGCCCTCCTGCTGCGTCCAGCCTGGTGCCTCTGAGCACCTCCTGATCGGCAGCACCCATTCCTCAGGATGCTGAGACAGTTCCGAGGTCACTGAGCTTGTCAGTCTGAGGTCACCAAACTGTTGCAGTTATTGGAAAATCCTGGGCTTGGAATTGCTGATACTGAAAAATGTGTTCTTGGCTCTTGTCTTCTGTTGTCAAACTTGTTAATATTTTAAGTATTTTTTCATAATATTTATTTTTACATAAATGTACATATATTTCTTTTAATTCTGTTTTAGGGGAAATTTTTTTTGGAAGATCCTACTGGAACAGTACAACTGGATCTTAGTAAAGCTATATCCTTCACTTTTGTTTTGTTGTGTTCTGAGACTAGGTCTTATGGTGTTGTCCAGGCTGATCTCAAATGCTTAGCCTTAGGTATCCTGCTGTCTCCACCTCCTAAGTCACTGGGACTACACCGCACCTCCTTCACTTTCTAAAATCTATGTTTTCAAAATTTATGTCACATGAATTAGAAAAATTGATTCTACATTATCCTTAAACGTTCCTATTTGGGTTCCCAGTGTAACTTCTATATGGTGTTAGCATAAGATAATAGAGATATAATCCTAAACAGACAGAAAAGGACTTTGAATCCTGCTTATCTGGAGAATTTCAGATAAGTCACTGAGGAAGTTTATAATATGCTAAGAATGATCTGACTGTATTACCAAACAACTTTTTTTTTTTTTTTTTTTTTTTTTTTTTTTTTGTTATCGGTAATCAACCCCTCAACCTCGCGCTTGCTGGGCAGGCACTGTACCAATGAGCTGCATCCCCAGCTTTTGTCTTTTTTGAGATAGAGTCTCCCTATGCAGCTCAGGCTGGCCTTGAGCTCACTTTGTAACCCAGGCTGGTCTTGAACTCACAATGAGCTTCCTGCCTCAGCTTCCTGAGTGCTGGGATTACAGGTGTGCACTATCATGCCCAGCTAAACTACATTTTAAAGTAAACATGGGGCCATTAAAACCTAAAAGTTGTCTAAGCTTCGGTCTAAGCTGTTCACAGTTTGAAATGTGAAGTCTGAACTTATTATTTAGACATCTTGGGCTCAGTATGTGTGTTGACTTTATTACTGCCTCAAGCACGGAAACAGAGTAATTGTCCTCAGCAGCTGTGCACCAGTTCCATAGCGGTCTATACACAGAGGCCTGCTTTGTCTTGGCAGAAGGTAAGTCAGCGTACTCTTTTCCTGTCTTCAGGGTTAAACAGTGAAACCGCTTCTCCTTGGGTGAGATATGTTCATACAGTACAATTTAGGAGGATGTTGATTGTGACAGCATATGTTCGACAACATAAAGTAACCCAGACAGATAGGCAAATAGAAATGTTTTTGGGACAATAAATGTGTTTTCAAATGTAGGGGTAACAACCTGTAAAAATACTAAAAAACCACTAGGTTGTACACTTTTAAAGGGTAAATGAATGGTATGTGAACTACAACTCAATAAAGTTGGAGAAAACCTGTTACATTTTAATTGGGTCATAAAATGAAACGTTTCCTGGTACATATATACATTATATCTAATTTCTCTGTCCTCCAGCATGTACTATGAAGTTAAAAAGAATTATCCTCAGCACCAAAGAAAAAAGTTTTACTTTCTAGTTAATGCACTTTTATTTTTAGAATTTATTTTTGAGACTGGGCTCACCATGTACTCCAGCATGGCCTCAGACTCACTATGTAGCCCAGGTTGGCCTTGAACTCGTGGCAGTCCTCCTGCCTCAGCCTCCCAAGTGCTGGGAGGACACGTGTGCACCACCACGCCTGGCTATTTATGGAATTTAGACTATGGCTCTGAAGTTGTTAAATGTGGGGCCATGGGGTTGGCAGGTTCTATAGTTAGTTCACAGGGCATGGATTATAGCCTAGCGGTATTGCTGTGTATAACAGTTTTGTCCTTGCAAACTAGAGGGAGAATTGGACAATCAATTGGAAGTGATTTGTGTCATCTTTTTCCAGGTTGGTTTGAAGATCAAGTGTTTCATGTCAACGCTTTTGGGTTTCCACCCACTGAGCCCTCGAGTACTACCAGGTATTAAAATGTTTGATTTAAATTCTGGGGAAAACACTTAGAAGCATGTAATTACCATGTTAATATAAAGGTCTTATGAAAAAAGTTATGTGAAGGTTATGAGATAAAGTATAGCTCCTGGATATAAGCACAAGCACCACAATATTAGAACTATCCCGAAAGATCCTTTCTGAGTGAAGTGAGTTCCCTGTCACTCAAAGTACAATTTAAACAAGCTGGACATGGCGGTGCACATCTCCAGTCTGTAACCCGGCAACTGGGGAGACTGAGGCAGGAGGATTGCAAGTTTGAGCCCAGCCTGGGCAGTTTAGCAACTGAAATTCTGTCTCAAAATAAAAAATAAAGTAAAAAAAAAAAAAGAAGGGGACTGGGCTCAGTGCAAAGACCCTGGGTTCAATCCCCAGTGCCCCGCTCCCTCCCGTGCACACACAGAGCGTTTGAGCAGAGGCGGAGTGATAGTGTGAGAGCTGTAGCTGGGGGCCTGAGGGTTGAATGTAGTGTGCAGACCTCTCTTCCCACTGCGTTGTTCAAAAACATTTTCAATTAGTTCCAATGTATAAAAATGAGGTTTCTCTTAAAAGTCTAGTTTACTTGGGACTTCAGATCTGCCAGGGAACCTGGATTCTCACCTGGTGACAGGTACATTGCAATGAACATCCACCCAGGTAGGGCCTGTGTGTGTGCCCTGCTTGGTCTCGGCTGGCTGCTGCTTGGATATTGTTACCTCCCTTACAGGGACTCTGTAAGCATTTGTCTTCTACATGCTTCCTTCTTTGCTCCTTAGAGTCCATGGACCAAGGAAAATGTTAGAAAGACTTTTCTCAGCTTTAATTTCTCAAGGTTCACTCAGTTTCTGTGATAGTCTGGTGTATGTCTGGGTGTATACTTCAGTCATACAATTGTATCTACTTAGGGCCGGGCATGGTGGTGCACCCCTGTAATCCCAGCACTTGAGAGGCTGAGGCAGGAGGATCTTTGCAAGTTCAAGAGCAGCCTGGGCTACAAAGTGAGCTCAAGGCCAGCCTGAACTGCATAGCCAGACCTTGTCTCAAAAAGACAAAAAACAAAAGAAAAAAAAAAAGAAAACCAATTATACCTACGTACCAAATTCTTCCAGTGATGGTAAGGTTGTGACTAATCTCTTGCAAATGCCATGCTGGTAGCAACAATAACTCATGACTGAGTGCTTACCAGTACTAAGAACTATGCCCTAAGTACCTTCTGGACATTATATCTCTTATGCCTTCCGGTGACCTGGTGTAGTAAGTATGAGTCCAGCCTCTCTGCGTTTCGGTAGTTGGGCTAAGAAGGGTTGAGTAATTTGTCCAAACTCACAGATTTCTTAATAGGGGCCATGTGCTTTAATCGTGAACTTGCTGACTCAGCCAGCCATTGTGCTGCACTGGATAAGTGTTCGAGTCATAAATCTTTTCTGGACTGAGGATGTGCTCAGCGGTAGAGCATGCACACAGCATGGTGGTTTACTCCCCAACACACATGCGTGCGTGCGCGTACGCACATACACGGAGGATTTTTTTGTATTATTAATGTAGTCCATGACTTGGGGAAATATATTTCTAATATATTTATTAGAAATATAATAAAGGCACCATTAAAAAGAGTATTAGCTTTAATTCTGTCAGACGGAAACAATTAGTGTTTCATAGAGACGCACACATATGCTGTGCGTATAAGCGGGTTCTCATTACTTACGGACCCTCGCTAAAATCTGCCTGTAAACCACAGTGCTGAGGCATCATTTCCTGGTGAGGGGAATATAAGGTAGAAGACTAATCATGCTGTAGACACAGTGAATAATTTGTGTTGCCAGACGTGGCCCAGTGGAGGAGGGACAGGGTGACCCTGTCCTCCTCTTTTGGCCTCGTTAAGCAGTGACAGAGGACAGAGAACCCAGGGGCGGCGCAGGGTGGCAGCTGAAGAAGCTCCAGTGCTGGGACAGGAGGCCAGGGGCGGAGTCTCCTCTGCTGGCTTTTTTTGGGTACTCTAAAGGGACGAGTGCTGGGCATTCCTTTGTCACCTGTTTCTTTTTTTAACTTCAATAACATGCAGTCAGCATTTTCCATGTGTTCCATGTGTTACTACGTGATTTGTGACGTTCAGCATATCTGTAATTTCTTGGTACAGAAAATACAAGGTAGAAGACAATAATTATGTTATAATTACATAGGGCATACTATGGAAATGTCAATTTTTTTGGAGGGCCTTCTACTACATCTGTAAAGACTTCTGCAAAACTAAAACAACTTGAAGATGAAAATAAAGATGCCATGTTTGTGTTTATATCTGATGTCTGGTTGGACCAAGTGGAAGTGTTGGAAAAACTTCACACAATGTTTTCTGGTGAGTATTGTTTTATCCATTCTTTATTTGAACTGTGATGAGGACTCGTGTTTTAACACTAACGTCTTGCTGGTGGCGAGTGTTTGTCCAGCTGCTCAGGGGGCTTGGACCAGAAGGCCCCATGAATTCGAGGCAACCTGTGTGACATAGCAAGAGCTTGTCTCAAAACAAAGTGACAAAACTAAGTTCATTCTTTCTTTCTTT